TTCATTCATTGCATGCATGCATGCATGCATGCATGCATGCATGCATGCATGCATGCATGCATGCATGCATGCATGCATTGCATGAGTGCATGCATTGCATGCGTGCATGCGTGCATGCATGCATTCATACATTCATACATTCATACATTCATACATTCATACAGTCATACATTCATACATGTTCATACATTCACACATTTATACACTCATACAATCATACATTCTGCATTTACGCATTCATGCATGCATGCAATAATGCATTCACGCATTCGTACATTCATACATCCATTTTCATACGCACATGCATACATACCTGCATATATAATTTGATAGATTGGATCGATAGATAGACGCATACATTCTGCAACAAGTAATTGTGCCATCATGGGCACAAGCAACGAAGAGAAGTGCTGCAAGAGGGCAACGTAGCCAACAGGTAGGGGCCATTGTCACGCGCGCATGTCGTCATGCAGCTTGCCAGGCTGTTGCAAAGGGCCGGGCGGGTCCAGGCCGCAAGGGGCGTCGCGGTGGTGGCGCGGACTCGGCTGGGTTTGGAGTCCTTGCTACGCGCGGAGCTGGAGACCTTGGCCAAGCCGGGCTCGGACTTCGTGAAGCCCGCGCCAGGGCCCGCCTCTGCCACCTTTGTGGCTCCCGAGGGGCGTCAGGCGGAGGGAGCTGTGGAAGTGCACTCCGCCGAGTGGGCGGCCGTGTATCGGGTGCTGCGCAGCCGTCTGGCGCAGAGCGTCTGGGTACGCGTGGGCGAGCCGTTTGCGTGCGACAGCCTTGAGGCTTTCGAGGAGGTGCTCAGCACTGCGCCCTTTGAGTCCTTCCTGGCCGACGAGCCGAGGGTCACGGTGTCGGCCTGGGAGCGCCAGAGCCGCCTGGACGCTGCAGACCTGGAAGCGGCCCTCCGCCGGACATTCCCAACGCCGCAGAGGCCTCGCGCCGTGCTACGCGCCGTGCTGCAGCAGAGCCGCGCTCAGTGCGGCCTCGCGAGTCACATTCCCTTGCCTTGCTTGATTCCTTGTCTATATGGCTCTGTTATGATGCGACATTTCTTCGGTGCTCAGTCTGGCTGCTGAGGAACGTGTGTTCGCTGGAGCTGCTTTGTGCGGGGGGCACGCGCCACTTGGCGGGGTGGCTCGCCAAGGGCTGGTCGGAGCCGAGCGGGTCGGACATGCAGGTTCCAGCCTCAGTTGAGCTTGAGACAGTTGGGTCAAGTCTCACTCAATTTGGGACGAGGGGCGTGCTTGGAAAGAATCGTTTGTCAGGTCGCCCAGCGCATCCCTTGGTCCCTACAGGAGGCTTGCAGAAGTTGCGCCGACTCGAATGTGCCTATGCATTCTTTTCTGGGCGTGAGGTTGCAGCGCAGGCCAAGAGGAATCCGACAGAGACTTGGCCGAAAGCACCAAAAACCTGTGTTGCAGGGCTGGCCCAACGATGCCCCACAAGCACCTTGACCGTTTGCTGGGCAGCATGTGTGCTTGCGGCTTCTGCAGGCAATTGAAGACGCAGAAGGATAGAGCTTTCGGTATTTTTTGTTTGTCAGCTAGCGCGAGTCGAGCGTGCGTATTTGTGCGTGTGTGTGTGTGCATGCGCGAAAAAGGCCTGTTTCGGAACACAGACGTCAAGTCTGCCTATCTTGGATTTTGTTGCATCTGGCACAGTGCCAGATTGCAGACCGTGCTTGCGAAGTGTGAGCAACTCTTGGGGGGGGCGGCGCGAACTGCACAGACGGTGCAGGCGGCACGGGCAGCGAGCAGACATGCGGCGCAGACAGATGCCGAGGACAGTCGCTCATGGCGCAGGCGAAAGCACAGATGCTCACTCCTCCCGCGCAGCTGCAATGCAGCGGAACAATTGTTTGAGACATCACGGCAGAAGCAGTTCATGCGTCATCGGCACACAATGCCCACGCTTCTCCCAGAAAGAGCCAGCTCAGCCAAGGCCTTTAGTTGGCGCACAGGCCTGGTCAAGGCTGCTCACGGTCTTGGGGAAGCCCGCGCGTGTCTTTCAACTGCCGTGGGTGTGCGCTTGCTTTGCAGGTTGGCTTGTCGCGCGCGTGCAATTGTGCTTGCGCGCGGTATTGATGTACACTAGCCGTTCATAGATTTGTTCAGCTAACTGTTTGCGGGTTACCCTTTTTGGAAGGCCGTTGGGCCTGAGTCTGACTGCTGGGGCAAAGGTGCTTTTGAGAGGAGGAGTGATTTGCCTCCTTATAAAGCTATAAAGCTCCTTACAAGGCTCCTTAGCAAAATGTAGACAAAGTAAAACCCTCCAAGCCAAGGGTTGCAGGGTTTTATTTTTTTAAGGCTCCTTGTAAAGCTATAAAGCTCCTTACAAGGCTCCTTAGCAAAATGTAGACAAAGTAAAACCCTCCAAGCCAAGGGTTGCAGGGTTTTATTTTTTTAAGGCTCCTTGTAAAGCTATAAAGCTCCTTACAAGGCTCCTTAGCAAAATGTAGAAAAAGTAAAACCCTCCAAGCCAAGGGCAGCATTCATCTGCGTCGAAGCCAACAGACTTGAGGATGTGGACGGGGCTTTCATTGCCGCCTTAGTCGCCCAAGCGGGATTCCCCAGAGTGTGACCAAGCAGGTAGAGCAGAGGACAGATCTGATGCCATTTTTGGTCCGCAAGGTCCCCCCACGCGCGCTTGCCACATCGCTCGTGTGGGACCCTTTTTGCCGAGGTGACGGCCCCAGCTTGCGTGTCAAGCGCGTTCGGCATTTTGCTTGCTGAGGCGGCCAAGTGCTGCTGGAGATTCTGCAGGGGGCTCCCAGCAGTGCCAGGGGCGCACCAGGGAACAAGAAGTAAGAAGATGGCTGCGACAGAGGGGCGTTGAGATATTGCAGGCAACACAAACGCAAGCGCATCACAAACACACACACACACAAAAGACACAAACTGTTGTTGCTAGATTTTTCAAATCTGCGCATTCACCGTTTGCAGGATGCCTTGACGCGGTGGCATGGCTCAAGCGAAACAAGTGCGCGCTGCTTGTTACATAGGTAGATTTGTGGCTAACTTGCCTATCCTTGTCTAACTGTACAAACGCACACAAACACAAACAAACACAAATACAAACGCGCGCAACAACACACAATCGCGCACAAACCCACACACACAAGGACAAAAGACACACAGCCACACACAAATGCCAGCGCAAGCACAAGCACAAGCGCAAGCACCACACAGCCGCACATGCCGGACGTGCGCGAGAGCGCCTGCCGAACGCGCGCAGCGGAAGGCGCAGCAACCCAAAGTAACACAAACGCGCAAGAACCACAAAACTTGTCCGCGAACACACACACACACACACACACACACACACACACGCACACACACACACACACACACACACACACACACACACACACCGCAACCGCAACCGCAACCGCAACCGCACCCGCGCCCGCAAGCGCAACCGCGCACACGCACACGCACACGCGCGCGCGCGCACGCGCACACACACACGCACACGCGCACGCGCACGCACACGCGCACACACACACACACACACACAACGCAACCGCACCCGCACCCGCAACCGCAACCGCAACCGCACACGCGCACGCACACGCACACGCACACGCACGCGCACGCGCGCGCACACACGCACACGCACACGCACACGCATGCGCACGCGCACGCGCACGCGCACCACACGCACACGCGCACGCGCAGGCGCGCGCGCACACACACGCACACGCGCACGCGCACGCGCACGCACACGAGCACACACACACACACACACACGCGCACGCACACGCACACGCACGCGCACGCGCACGCGCACGCGCACACACACGCACACGCGCACGCGCACGCGCACGCGCACACACACGCACACGTGCACGCGCACGCGCACGCACACGCGCACACACACACACCGCAACCGCACCCGCACCCGCAACCGCAACCGCACATGCGCACGCACACGCGCACGCACACGCACACGCACGCGCACGCGCACACACACGCACACGCGCACGCGCACGCGCACACACGCACACGCACGCGCACGCGCACGCGCACGCGCGCACACATGCACACGCGCACGCGCACGCGCACACACACGCACACGCGCACGCGCACGCGCACGCACACGCGCACACACACACACACCGCAACCGCACCCGCAACCGCAACCGCAACCGCACACGCGCACGCACACGCACACCGACACGCACACGCACGCGCACGCGCACGCGCACGCGCACACAGACGCACACGCACGCGCACACACACACGCACACGCACGCGCACGCGCACGCGCACGCGCACACACACGCACACGCACACGCGCACGCGCACGCACACGCACACGCACGCGCAACCGCACCCGCACCCGCAGCGCACACACACGCACACGCGCATGCGCACGCGCACGCACGCCACGCACGCGCAAGCGCCGCACGCGCACCCACACGCACACGCGCACGCGCACGCGCACGCGCACGCACACGCACACGCACGCGCACGCGCACACACACACACGCACACGCGCACGCGCACGCGCACGCGCACGCGCACGCGCACGCCCACGCCCACGCCCACGCCCACGCCCACGCCCACGCCCACACGCCCACGCACGCACATGCACGCGCACGCGCACGCGCACGCCCACCCCCACGCGCACGCGCACACGCACGCCACGCGCACGCACGCGCACCACGGCGCACCGCACACCCCACGCCCTCACGCGCACGCGCACGCGCACGCGCACGCGCACGCACACGCCCACACGCCCACACGCGCCACGCGCACGCGCACGCGAACGCGCACACGCACACGCACCGAACGCGCGCACGCACACGCACACCCACGCCCCACGCCCACGCGCGCGCTTACGCGCAGGCGCACGCGCTTACGCTCACGCGCTCGCGCACCGCGCGCGCACGTGCGCGGCGCACGGGCACGGCGCACGGGCACGCGCACGCACACGCGCACGCACACGCACACCGCACCCGCACGCGTACGCGCGTACGCGCGCACGCGCACACGCGCACGCGCGCACGCGCGCACACACACACACACACACACACACACACACACACACACACACACACACACACACACACACACACACACACACACGCACACACGCACACACGCGCACACGCACACACGCACACACGCACACACGCACACACGCACACACGCACACACGCACACACGCACACGCACACACGCACACACGCGCACACGCGCACACGCACACACGGACACGCACAAATACACAAGTGCGCACAAGCAGGCGCGCGCGCACACACAGACACACGCATGCACGTGGCGCGCACACACGGGCACAAAGACCCGTGCGCGCACACAGCACATAAACCCATGAGGACATGCTAGGCTAGTCTTTACTTCCCCCCAAGCGGACATGTGCACATGCGAAGATGCTCGCATACACAAGCACATGCGAATGCAGCCAGGCTGATGCGCAAACAGCGCGCGGCCACATCCACACACACACACACACACGCCCAGTCGCTTCACTGCTGATGTGCAGCAACTCGCGTGATATCAGCACGTGCTGGGCAGAGAGGCGTGCGCAAGCGCATAGGTCACGCATGAAGCCGTGCGCAAGCGGCGTCCAAAAGGTGCACTTCGGTTGGCCCACCTCCGGATCTTGAGGTCTGCTGTGCTGGCGCTGCCGCCCTGCGTGGAGCGGCAGCCTTGCGAGCGGCTCCGTCCGCACAGGCCTCAGGCGCGAAGGGCCGCAAGGGAACCGGCTAAGCTGGGGGCGTGCGTTGCAGGGTGAAGAGTTCCAAGCGCAGAGAAGGTAAGCTCAGCCACAGTTTTTTCCGATTGGCAAGGCTGAGGCAGCCCTGGGTGAGGCGATGGTGGAGGCGGGACAAGATGTGCTGCATCGGTTGTGAGCGCTCAACCGCTCCAGGCGCAGGCCTTGACCTTGGTGGGCTCAGACCGCAGCACAGCTTCCATTTTGCATCTCGTCATGACCGTCGTCGCCCCGTCGCACGCGGTTGGCCGTTGGCTTTTGTTCGTTGCGCGCTCCAAGCATGCGAACAGTCTGAGGGAAGCGCGGCGCCGCCTGCGCAAGTTCTCCAATGAGCTCAAGGGGATGGAAACTGCAGAAGCGGAGCCAGACACTGCCAAAGTCCAACTCCAGGCGGGCGCGGGCAGCGAAAGAGGCTGTGGATTTCGAATTATGCCAAGTATGCCAAGTATGCCAGGCTGGCAGCCGGCCACGGGTCAGAAGGCAAGGACTTGGGATCAAGGTCGCGGATGTGTTTGCTTTCCAGGAGCCACGTCAGTTCAACAGCAGTCACCCAAGAGCACCACACCCAAGAGCGCGAGGAGCGCTGTGCAAGTTTAGCGATAGTGAACAGAGGCAGCGTGCAAAGTCACTTTTCGGTGGCCCTTTATTTTGCAGGAAAAGGTCCTCAGCTTCTCCAGCGCTGCCGACCCGGAAGGCGGAATCCATTTGCCGTGCGAGGTGTCGCTGAACGTGGCAACCTTCGACAGCATTGCTCCCTTCTTGCCGCCGGCTCAGTGACGGTCAGAATTTGGAAGTTTGGTGAGCGCTTTTGATTGTTGGAAAAGCTTGTTGCCTCAGTTGCAGAGGTCTGGAGCGTTGGTGGTCACCCGCGCGCCGAGTGAGGCCAGGTTGGCAGGTGTTGAGTTATGAGTTGCGATGCAAAGTAAGGGAAGGCAATGTACAAGGCAAGGAGGGGAACAGCCATGGCCTTTGTCCTTTTCTTTTTTCTCCGTCCGTATTTTGAGTTCAAAACGGGTATCTCGCTCCGGGCTCCGGGCCGGTTTGACCGTCCACGGATATGCGGCCAGCCTTGCTTGCGGCTGACTTGCGGCTTGCAGCGCGGGTGGCTGACTCGAGCCGAGTGCCCGACGCGAGGCACGGGGCCTGGGCTGCACGGGGCGGATGGCGCAGCTCTACCGGCGCTTCGGCCACTTCCTCGCCGCCCGGAAGGAAAGCCGAAAGCGAACCATGGAGCCTGGAGCTTTCAGGTTGAATAGAAGAAAACAAAGACAGTCGTAACGCGAGAGAAAGACGAAAGAGACAAAGATGGAGACAGACTCTAGAGAGAAGCCGAGTCAAAAAAGAAGGACATCGCATGTGCAGCACGCATCGCAGCAAAAAGCAAGGCAAGAGCCATCAAGAGCCCACAAACTCACAGCAACCTCTCCGAACGCCTTCACCAAAGTACATCAGCCCCTAGCCCACCCTAAACTCACCCCACACAAACCCTGAGCGCAGCCCCAAAACCAACCTAAAACCAGCAAAGCAACCACCTCTGAACCATTCGCAAAGCCACCCCATGCCCTAAACCCACGTGCCCGCCGCGGCACGCCCAGATCACTTTTCAAGCTCAACTCAGCCCCCCAGCAAGAGCATGCGGTTTTCCTAGCTCACTGCCAAGACTTCCAAAATGCTTTGCACGCCAGACGCGCCAGCATGAATTTCTACATGAAATCTCGGTGCGGAAAATGGTTGCTGAGATTAAGTATTACGTTTCGAATACAGTTTCCGAATCACTCACGGTCTCCGATGCCGACGCGAGGAAGCGAAGCGCAAATCACCGAATCACCCAGCAAATCGTAGCATCAAGAGAGTTGCGAGTCCGTCCGTCGTTTTACAAGAGTTTTGCGATTTTGTGGACCTTGGTCACGTGCAGGACTGGTCGGGTGCCTATGTGCTGGCGGACAGCCCTGCCTTTCGCCGTCAGACGCGGCTGTCCTGGCAATGTCTAGGGACCTTCCGGGCGCCCAGCGGACGCCGCCTGGAATCAAGCGCGCTCAAACTTTGCCCCTTTTGAGCATAAGGCTTTGAGCTTTTGGCTGTGGATAAAACTACAGCTCACCCCAGTGTCTTTTTCTGCTAGAGCTAAGACACGACACGTAGGATCTTTGGGTACAGCGTTGAGTGTGCCAAGTCTTTGTTTTGATCTTAAGGTTGAGTCGCTGTCATCCCAATGTGTGACTTGCAGCGCTGCAAAAGCGCGCAGCGCCACGTGCCTTTGTTAAGCCAAGCCCAATGAAGTCTTTTGGCAAGCTCGAGTTGCCGAACGGGAGCCAAAACGGGAATCCAGCTGGGTCAACGTGAGTGCGTCTGCCGGTGCTGCCCCCGTCCGCAAGAAGGCTGTTGGCCTGGAGCAATTGAGCCCGAGGCCGCGCGTGCGTTTGCAGAGCAAGAGTCTGCGCAAACTCGGCATACCGGAAATTCTTTGCACGCGCAAAAGCAACAGTTGAGGGGGCACAGGTAACGTCTAGGTGCCGAGGAAACTCCAGGTGAGGAAGGCTCCGGATGCCCATCGCTACTTTGGGGGACAGCGAAAACGTCCCTAGGTTGCCTGGCCGCTGCCTTTTGGTGCTTGAAAGGTTCAGCAGGAAACGAGGGTACTTGATGTGATTACCTGTTACGATCACCATCACGATTGCGAATGCCAAGTTCCATTTCTATATGTCCTCATCACTGTGCAAAGTCTACGCGCTTCAGTTATGGCGCAAGGTCCACCATCGCTACGCCTACGCCTCAACAACAGCTGAATGAAGCGCGTTCACTTCACCTTGCAACATTTTCCGAGCAGCCCTACACTTGGGAATTTGTGCCTGCGGAGCTGAGCACGCAAGTGCTGGGCCACTTGCAACAAGCAACTTCAGAGAGAGAAGCTCCCACATTTGTAGAATCAACACACTGTTTCCACACTGGGGTACCGTATGCCCTGCACTCTTCCATGCGCTGCAACTTAATCACACAGGCCGCAGAACAGGCGGCGGGACTACTTGCACAGGTTCTTTCTTCCGAATAGCGAACGCTGAGACATAGCGCCAAGAAGCTGCGCAAAGGAATGGCGTCGAGTGGCGCAGAGGAGATGTGAAGAGATTGCGAGCGATGCCGCAAGTGTCAGCACGTCGCCGGAGAGATTGCTCAGAGACACATCGCGAGCTTTGCAGACGTTCGCGGAGAGATCACGCGGCGAGATTTCACTGAGAGACTGCGGCAAGAAATGTGATGGAGAGACTGCGCAAAGGATAGACAGCGCACAGGAGTGTTTGATGGAGAGAGAAGGAGCTCGCATTGCTGTAGACAAAGGCATGCAACAGACAGATTTGTTAGAGGGAGATGTTGCAAACATAGTGCTCGGAGACATGTTACAGAGAGATTGCAAGGTGCCTAGGTGTTAGAAAGAAAGTGCTCAGAGAGATGTCACGGGGGATTGTTCAGAGAGGTATTCTTTTGAGTTTTGACCAGACGAGTTCAGACAGGAGGGCCTTTAGCAGAACCAACAGAACCAACGAGCTCAAGAACAACTCAAGAACAACTCAGCCAAAATATCAACTGAAAACACAGACTCAAAAAACACAAAGATCGCACAGAAAGAAAACAAGGGACGACTGAAACACAACACAGAACAAGCACAGTCCGCAACTCAGAAAAGAACACAGAAACAACTCAGCCTTGACTCGATCCCCCCACTTGAGTCTGAGGCTGAGTTGGGAGCTGAGCTTTTTCTTAGTTGTTTCTGAGTTTTTTTGAGTTTGTTAGGTGTCTTCCTGCAGGTTTCCTCCCCAACCAACCCCCCCCAGCAGAAAACACTCGAACAAACTCAGAAAACACGCAGACACGGGCTGAGTTTTCTGCTTCTGAGTCTTCCCCAGGTTGGGAGGTTTTTAGACTGAGTTCTTCGGACTTGGATTTTTTTCCCCAACAGGTTCGGGACGGCCCAGAGATAAGGTTCCACAGGGCTCCAAGTGTTCTACAAAAGTTCCGCAATGGATCCACAAGGGTTCCTCAAGGTTCTGCGAGGGCACTGGTCCGAGGCCCTGTAAGGTTTCACAGGGTTTCACAAGGTTTCCACAAAGAATCCAAGGGTTCTTCCATAGCATGCTCGCAGCACCTTTGCAAAATGAATTCAGGCCGCAAAACAGCGCGGCCGTGCAAGCCCCGTTGAGGAAGTGAGTGCCGCGTCCGCCGCTTGTTGGGCCCACTGACGCAGCTTAAAATCACAGTCCTCCGAAGCAAAGGGTTGATGGCCTTGCTTTCTGATCCGTTCCCTGACTCCAACAAAAGCCCGGGCCAGCCCCTTAGCAAAAAGAGCTGAGCGAGCGAGTCGAAATGCAAGACAATTTCAGTTAAAACAGCCTAATCACAACCGGCGGCGGTGGATTGATTGGTAGTTTCCCGCGCCATGGGGGTCCGTTGGCACCGTCGGGCCCCGGTCGGGCACAGTCGGCTGTACCAAAGACATCCTAAGCAAAACCGGCGGGGCTGCGCTATGATGGGTGGGTTGGATTGGTGGTTTGCCCCCCGGCCCCGATCGGGCGCCAATTGCGCCGCCAGGCCCCGGTCGGGCACCGTTGGCTGACAGCTAGAGCGACAAAGCCAAACTGTACGGTGCGCTATGATTGGTGGCTTGGATTGGTGGGATCGCGCTGTCGGGCCCTAGTCAGTTTTTTTTGCGCAAATTCCTGGATTTGAGGGGAGTCTAGGCGAGATGGAACAAAGAGATTGCTCAGAACCAGATGTCATGCTGTATCGCATACGTGGGGAAATGCGGTGCGTTAGGCTGAGCGCAAGCCGAACACGACCTACGTGGATCGCACGGGCCGATGTGCATGCTCCAGGGTGAAACCTTTGTGGTTAAAACGACGGGACAAACGCGGCTATCCAGAGGCTCCAGCCTGAGCGGACAGGGACGTGCTGCCTTCATATTTTTGAGAACGGTATCTTTCACTTCATTGTCTTCGCGCTCGCGGGATTCTTTTGTCCCACAAACATTGTTTTGTAACGGAAACCAGGCTGCATGAATCACATTGCTTGCCTTGCTGGTGAGTATGCGGCAATGACATGTTCACCGTGGTACTGCGAACAAAGTCCACAGCGTCTAGCCTGTGGCACGAGAGCGCAATTCAAATGTTCGATCCGGGCGACGCTCGCACTCAAAAACCCCTCGATACAGTGCCAGCGCTTCATACCTGCGCATGGGGCGCAGTCTTGCGGTCTAGATCTGCGCACCGCGGTCCAACTACTGAGAGGGCCCGATAAAGTTCCTTGCAATTTCAATTTGCCAGTCGCAAGCAGTGTGCGATTCGTTTGACCTCGCTGGCACCAGGTTGATAGTACCAGGTTGGTAGGGGGAAGTCTGAGAGCGAGAGGGAAGGAAAAGAACACGTTGAAGAAGAGTAAAACATGAAAGAACCGACTGGCGAGTCAAAGGGGGAAAAGCATGAAACAGATGAGGAACACCTGAGCATTGCCGAGCATCTGACTAAGGAAAATGGTGGCTGCTGCACTGGTCACCGCTCAGGCGGGCGCGCTCCTTGTTTTCATTCCCCTGATTCTGAGCCGAGCCACAATCAAACCCAAAGCTTCGTAACTCACGAAAGAGGCCACATGAATGGGCATGGCCAATCCCTGATCGGTAGACCGTCTCGACATTGCTCAGGCCACACGGGCACGGAGTATCCGGCTCTGAGGAAGGCGCGCCCCGGCGGCTTTGGGAGCGTGCGCCCAGGCGCGAGGTTTGGGCTTCGCAGCTTCGCAGCTTCGCAGCTTCGCAGCTTCGCAGCTTCGCATGTTGGGCCGGATGTGGCTTGCGCCTCGAGGCGAAACCGACGCAACCGGCATGGAAGGCATGAGACTTGAGCTGGAGAAAAAGAGGCGGAGGCGTTTAGACGTTTGCCAGCGCTCTTCTCGGGCCCGGCCCACGCAGATTGAATAGGTTTCTGCCGCTATGCCCAGGTTGTTAAGGCCAAGGACACAAAGACTGAGGGCGAGCCAATGGTGGCATGTTCCTCAGAACGAAGTGGCGCGCTTTTGGCATGTCAGTTGTGTCTGAGGCTTTGAAAATAATTCGGTCCAACGACATGATGAAGAAAGCGGCAGAGCGGCTGCCTCAAGAATTGTTGGTTGGCAAAGTCGTACTGCCGCACGCAGGAAAGAAGTTGAAATCCTCCAGACATTGAACAATGCCGACAAGGCCAACAAGAGGCACATCATCAGGCTTATCGCTTCTTGGACAGCAGTGAGGTACATGAGACATGCCCAGCGAGTGCTTGCTCAGGAAACCTTTTACTACCGCCGGGCCCTCAAAGCTGTCGGCTCGGCATTCGCCATGCATCGGACGAAATCGGACGAATTCACGAGGAAAGCACATCTTTCTGGTCTTCGAGTGCATGGCCTGGCTCCACGGGGGAACCGGGGAACCACAGCACCCAGCGGCATGGGGGCATGCCGGTTACATGCCGGGGGCATGCCGGGGGCATGCCGGGGGCATGCCGGGGAGGGCATGCCGGCACCACGGGAACGTTCGAGGCTGAAGACCTCCGTGGGGCGCTGAAGAAGTGCCCACAGCGCAAAGACGCGATCCAAAAAGTTCAATCCAGATCGATGCAAGTGAGCACGTCCACGAGCGCGATAGCGATCAGCGAGGTACACCAAGAACCGGGGCATGTCCCTGCCGGCGGCCACTTGGCACGCAAAGGGCACGCATTGTGCAAAGCAACATGTGACATGGGCATGCGACGTAGGTGAAAGCATACACCAAGCAGCTCCTCATCGGAGCGTCGCAGAAGCAATTTGGTCCATCTCTCGACCTCGCTTAGTGTCCATACGTGAAAGGTCCGGCACATGCACAAGTTCAACATCGTCCATGCTGACTTGAAGCCTGACAATATCCTGATTAGCCCAGACAACAACATTGCTCCTTGCCGACTCTCAGACTGGCATGCCTGCAGGCAAGATTCAACCAAGGTAAAGCTTTGCGATTTCGGCACTGCCATCGAGCAGAAGGACATCTCCGTTTCGCCGCCGGCTCCTCAAGGAATGCGCCGAATTCGCCGCATCGCGTGCCGCATGCATCGCGTGTGCATCGCGTGTGCTTCGCGTGAGGTATTTGATGAGCCGCTTCTATCGGCCTGCAGAGGTGATCCTGGGCTGCGAGTGCCCAGTCTCAACGGAGTCGGATTGGAGTCGGATTGGAGTCGGATTGGAGTCGGATTGGTCGGATTGGTCGAGGCGTGGCTTTGGTTTTTGCCGCTCAGGTACGGGGTGTCCGTGGATGTTTGGGCACTCGCTTGCACGCTTTTTGAGATCTTCACGGGGAAGACTTTGCTGCAGGCACAGAATGGCACACACGGAGCGTGCAAAGCCGACAGTCCAAGCGCGTCGCTTTCCAGGGGAAGACAAACAATGCCTGAGCCTTGAATTGCTGACCTGAATTGCTGACCTTTGTCGCCCCGGCGCCCCCTGTTTCAAAGGATATGCTGAAGCGGATCATGGACCTGAAGGGTAAGATCCCAAAGAACGCCGGCCTCAAAGGATCCACGTGCATGCCATGCGAATGCCGAATCCAGCACTCGCTCGTGAGGTCATCAAGAAGGGCGCCGTATGGAAGAACCACTTCGATGAGAACCTGGATTTCAAGTTCGTCGACAAAGACTCCATGAGCCTGATCCGCATGTCCCGGGTCACGGGCAAGTCCGTCACGTCGGTCCGCTCAATGTCCTCGGCTCGCACTTAGGACTGGGGAAGAGATCACCCGCGCAGCGGCCTCTCGAGAGCTCGCGAGACTCGTTGACTCGGAATCTCGGAAGAGGTCATCACCGACAACAACGCGAAGCGAGATCTGAAGGAGGGAGAGACGAGAGATTTGCATGACGAGAGCGCGAGCGCGATCTCCAAAATGTCTTCGCCTCTCTCCTCTCTCGTTGCCTCTTTTCCGAGGAGTTCCTCCTGGACCGCGTGGGCCCGGAGAAGCAGAAGTCGCAAGAGAGAGAGGCGAGACATGGCGCATGGCGAGACATGGCGAGACGATGCACGTCACTTTGCATTCGCACGGTTCAGGACCAGCAGTACGTAAAGAAAACGTGGACCAACTCAGAGTTTGACACATTTTGACAGTGCGGTATGGTCGAACTCCTGTGACTCTCAGGGTTCACTTCGCAGACCTTCTGGATAAGATGCTTGCCTGCCGCCCAGTGGGCAAATGGGCATGCCACAGCTGGGACATGCATATGGCAAGCAGCTCACATGAGGCCCTTGACCCTGACAAGCGTCTAACAGCGGACGATGTCGCGCGCTCACTAGCATCGACGCGCAACTGGCGCAGCTTTGGCGTAGGCGCTGAAGCACCACTTCATAGAGGACCCCAAGGCCTTGAAAGGGGGCGCCAGCCTCGGCTAGAGCGTTGGAGCCTGACCCGAACCAAACCGCTCTGAGGGGCCGGGACGCCAGGCCCGAGGCTGAGCGTCGCACCTAGGGTCTCAGAAGCCCATCCCATTTTCTCCTTTCTCAGGCAAGCGATAGCTCAGCAAGACACAAAGCGTTGCACTTCGACAACTTGAGTCCAGCCGCGATGGCACCAATACAATGCAAAAACCGAGCGCCGCAAAGAGAGTGAGTGTGCATTCTTGTCTTTGCAGGCTGAAGGCAAAGGCTTGACAGTGATCCATGCGTGACAGCAACAGCACATTCTCAACATGCGTAGCCAGGCATAGAAGCTTGGTGCGTTTTAGCATGTGATGTTTTAAGATGTTTGGGTGAATCGCAGTTACATGTGCTGGCATAAGTGCTGCCACTTGAAATGATTAGCTCAATGGCGCTATGAAGCGGAGCCTTCCGGTGGCTCTTGCCGTGGCAGCATGCAGCACGTGCTGCGTGACAAGGCGGGGCCTCGGCCTCGGCAACTTGGCGGCGAAGGCGTCGTCGGCGGTCCCGCCGGTCCCGCCGGTCCCGCCGGTTCTTCCGGCTCCGGTGGTGGTCTCCGCGGGCCAAGACCTGGGCCAGACGAGCCTTGAAGACTATGCCGCCATGCGTGATGACGCCCCGAGGACGGAGGCATACGCCGCAGCCATCAATGAGCGCCTTCAGGCAGGAAAAGGTTGGAAAAGCTGGAGCATTTAAAGGAGAGGTAAGCAAAGGAACTCGCCCTTTTGTTTTCCTCCCACAAATTTGGAAAGCGGAAGCGGCGTCCAGGGCCGCAGCCTTGTGGTGGCGGACATTGGCACGGGGCCGTTTGCTTTGCTGGCGCTGCTTGCCGCGCGCGCGGGTGCCCGACACGTCTACGCCATCGAGCGGACGCCGTCCGTGGCACAGAAAGCGCAGCAGGCAGTGAGGGCGGCTGGGCTGGAGGATGTGATCACTGTGATCACAGGCACCTCCCAGGACGTGACACTGCCAGAGCGTGTGGACTTGGTTGTGTCCGAGCTGGTGGGAAATGTTGCAACAGGCGAAGGAGTCGTGGACACGATCCGGGATGCGAAGCGACGGTTCCTGAAGCGTGACGCCACCGACGCCACGGACGCCACGGACGCCATGATCCCTGCCAGGTGTCAGACAGCCGTGGCCCCGGTGGCATATCTCAACCACGAGCTGCTGGCGGCCAAAGGCCCCGAGTTCCTCCGGCCCTTCCGCCTCTTCGCGAAGAGCGACTTGGCCTTCCTGTCGCGGCCTCAGCTTTTAGAGGATTTTGACCTCTCCGATCCCGACGATCTGCGGCAGCCAGCGACCTTGGAATTTCAGCTGGACCAGTCGGGCCCGGGGTTCTCGGGTTTCGCCCTCTGGCCGCGCGTGGTGGTTGACGCGCGCCGCACGGTGGATGTGTTGACCGCCCCCAGCCACTGGTGCTTCATCGTGGCGTTGATGTCTCCAAAGAGGCTGCCGATCACGCAGAAGGCCATTTTGCACAGTTCAGTGGATCTCAGCAAGGTGCCCTACTCCTACTCGCTGTCAGCAGACTTAGTTTAAGGCGCAAAAAGGAAAGATATCGCAGCATTGGACTGGAGTGCGTAAGAGTGCATGGAGTACACTGAGTGCCGCGCCTTACCATCCTGGCTCGGGCAAGGAGCGCGGGGGCGCAGGCAGCGCACGCAGCGCGCGCGGCGCGCGCGGCGCACGCGGCGCACGCGGCGCACGGGCACACGAGGCCCGGCGAGGGGCAATGCCAGGCACCCAGGACTGAGACCCATGTGCTGCACGCGCGCCTCAGCGACTCAGGTCGCTGCAGCCTGGCAGGGTGGCTCGCAGTTCAGATTTTCGATCAAACGCGCTTCACCCTTTCACCCTAAGCCAGCGGCCCGGAACATCGACGATCTGCTCTTTGACATCATTGTGCTTAGAGTTCACGGCCAGAGCCTTAAACCCACAATCCTCAAGCATCCTCAAGCATTTTGTCTGGCTTTTGCGACTCCAACCTGTGCCGAGAGCAAGAGCCACCTCGCCAGTCAACTCATAGGTCATTTGGTCGTTTGATCGCTTTGAGTGGGGCCCCGCGTCGCTCCGCGTCGCCGTAGGCGGCGTCGCAGATGTCGTGTACCTGGACGATGGCAACCTGGAGAAAGCGGTGCCACTGGATGAGCTGAGAGCGCAGGCATAGCAAAAGCCGGCGACGTGTCAGATCGATCGGATCCATGTGAGCGCAGGACTGCGAGAGGCACCGCCACAGACTGCCGCCCTTGGCCTTCACTGTGCTGTGCTTTGCCGCCAGGATTTCAGCAGAGCAGCAGCAAGTCTTCGAGGCGTTTTTTGGTTTTGCCGATGTTTCGCACGTTTGCCTTGGGCTTCTCGTCGTTGTGCAGGCTGGTCTTGAAAAGTTGGCCCGGCATCCAAGGGCTGAGACAGAGCAGTTCATGTGGGATATCCAGACAGCCATTGCTGGCCCCATGGTTGGGCGCACTCCTATTTTTGTTTGATCCACTTCCCAATGCATGCAGCGAAGCGAAGTGCTGAAGAAGTCTCAAGACAAGTTTGGAGTTTCAGCGCGTTGGTCAGTTTTCAAGCTATTTGCTACCTCAACCGAGTACGGTGCATGGCAGCGATTCGCGCGGAAGATTTCCCCACAACTGCAGCTCAACGGACATTCAAGAAAACATCCCAGTGATACTGGGGATGCAGCCGGTGTTGTGCACACAGCGTGGCTTTTGCAGCTTGTTTTGCAATAGAAGGCGCAACTGCCCAGAATTGGCTACATGGGCGGTTGAGAAAGTGAATCTGTGTAAGCCTTGCAGTGCCAGTGCCTTTTTGTTGTTTGCCAGGTACAGGAAGTTGTCGGTTGCAAAGCTACACGAGGAACATGTGCTCTTGATGGGAACCTCTTGAAGAGGCTAGCGCGCAAGCAGATTCAAATGCGTTGGTCATGCAACCGCGCAATACCCGTTTGACGAGGTTGTGGATTGGCAGTTGGCGCATCCAAGGAACTAGCTACCGTAAGAATGGCTGAGCTCCGTACGCTGCTTGAAAAACAAGTGCATGACAAGCCATGCACGTGCCCATGAGGAATCAATTCCAGGAAAACGTGCGTTTGTAAATCCACAGTGCAAAAGGGTTCTAGCAAAGCGCAAGAAAACACCGAACCATACCGGGTGAGAAAGCTCGACCTGTGTCCTTATCGTGGCCCATCTGCACAATCGCCAGGCGTCGGCGATTTTGCACATAGGTAAGTCAAGCTGTCACACCGATCCTTCCCACACTTTGTCGCAATGCATGTAGTTCTGAGATGCATGTCTACCTTGACTTGTCGATTGTTTGTTCCCATGTTCTACCAATGAGAACGTTCATCGACAGTAGCTTGATTTTGACACGAGAGCTTGCATGCTTCACGGTGTGACTGGACGCAAGTCTTCGCTGCTGGGCTTTGTGTTGGCATTGAACAGCAGGGCGACGAGCCTGCGTCGCCTGCAACGGCCAGCAACATGCGCTGGGAGCAAGGCAAGGCGATCAAGGGACAGGGAATTGGGCACAGCATGCGGGGCAGCACACATCAGCCACATCGCACAGTGGGGCGTGCATATGCATTTGTCGTGCGCTTTGTTGCCAAGTCGCCGATTCCGACGGTCATCTCATTCCAGCTGGCCATGTGTTCGGGCAGGCTTGCGGAAGGTTCATAGCAAAAGCAAGTAGCAGAGATTTGTTTTGTGATCTTGCAACATCTTGCAACTTGTGGCCTCAGTTTGGAGTCTGAAGCCATGCCATGGGTTTGCGTGGCTGCCTTCGCCTCAGTCTTCTTTGCGCTGTATGTTTGTCGCTGGCCGGCCTGGGGCTGCGGCTCCAGACGCCTCTCTGCACTGAGAGCCTTGAGCTGGCGTTTGAGACGGAAACGCAGCTTGAGTTCGGGAAGCAAATCGGCCCGGAGTTCGACTCGGTGCAAGTGGTGACCTTCGCGAACGCAGACTCTGTGTATTTGCGGCGGTTTAGGGCTTCTGCAGCATGGCAGGGCTACGCTCCGCCCACCGTCCTAGGCTTAGGCACTGCATGGCGTGGCCCCTTTCACTCCAAGCTGGCCCCGCTGGTTTCGTTCCTCGGCACGTTGCCCAGGGAGCGCCTGGTGCTGATCATGGACTATGACGCGTTCCTTCAGCAAGGCCCCCAACAACTCCGCCGGGCATATGAGCAAAATACCCGGCCGGGCAATGTGTGGATCAGTGCAGAGCCGCTTTGCAACGGGAAGCCTGAGCTGACGGAGACAACAAACGGAAATGAGCTTACACCAGACCAGATCACTGCCATGAGCTTTCAGTCCTGCTATCCCTTCCCCAGCCAGCATCGGGGTTCGCACGGTTTCGGGCAGGTGGGCTCCAACCGCTTCATCAACACAGGCTTCACCGTGGGCCCTGCCGGCCAGGTGCGACGCTTTTACCAGGCCGTGCTGGATGCAGTGCCGCAGCGAGACCAGCACGGCAGCAGCATTGACCAGTGGTGGGCCGGGCGCCTGCACAGCCGGGCGAACGGAGCTTTCAACGGGACGAACGGGACGAACGGGACGAACGGGACGAACGGGACGAACGGGACGAACGGGACGTGGCTGGAACTGGTGGAGCTGGACGCGCGCCAGCGAGGCGCCGCACTGGTGCTGGGCACTCAGCTCCTGCGGAACCAGAGCGACACTGGGAGTTTCACAGACGGCGCCCGTTCCCGTGAGGTCCACTGGGCACACTGGGTTTGGCGCAACGGCACGCTGCGGCACCTGGACGGCCACGTGCCCATCGCCGTGCACGTGCCCAACCAACGGCGGCGGGAGAAGGTGCTGCAGTACTGCCTGCTTTGGACCCTCTTCAAGGAAGCAAGGCTGGAAGCGCGTGCCAGGAGTCTCACAGACCCCGCGAAGCCGCGCCAAAGAGAAGGGATGCCAAAGCGCGTCTTGCTTCCGTAAGTCACACCGGTTGCTGGTATCATTTGTGTGCGTAGGCAAGTATGAAGAGGAGGATGGTGCCATCATTCTCTCAAGCTGCATTTCAGTCCTCACGCCCGAGGCCAGGAGTTGCATGGGAAGCCGCACGTTATGACTCGCATGGCTCAGGCAGTGAAGGACAATGCTGTGATGCAGGCCTGTGGCACCGGCTTGCCCGGACCCTGAGATTTGGCAAGTCAGAGGGAGGCCCGAACCTCTCTCCGCTGCAGGCGAGGCATCAGAAGTCTTCGGAAGCACATCCAGGCAGGTGGAGTTGTATCAGTCAGATAGCGCTGTCGCGGCACATGACTTGCAAGGTGACAGCGCCGGCTGCCGCATAAAGGCCGATGCCAGAATCAATGCCGGCGAATTCAGCTCGAAAACATTGCAGGTCGTTCGCATCGGTGCAGTGAGCTCGTGTCTCACAGCCTTCTCTTGGCTGAGTTTTCAGCTTCGCTTTTTGTGATGCGTTTTGGTTTGCGAATATCGCAGTTTCACTCGGCCCGAAAGTCAAAGGGCCTTGAATTTGCCTTCCGTAGGAGTTTGCGTTTGGCCAGCCAGGCACCAGGCGAAGTCTGGGTTCCACTGGGTTGCAAGACTTTGCATAGACTCGGCGAGAGCTGGCTCTTCACTGCGCTGAAACTGCAAGGGTGCATGGCCGCCGCGCAGGTGCATGTCCGAAGCTTTGATCTGTGACCCTTAGCTGCGCGCATCTCTATCTCTCAGTTAGAGCGACAAACGGCAACAGACATGCATTTTTCAGAGTTGCGTTTGCAAGAGTGTGCTGAAGACCGCGCGCAACGTAGCAATGACGGATGTGAAGCGCACTTTGGGAGAGGAGTTTGATGCGCGGCCCCCGGAGCAGCGCTTAAGCTATAGGCTGTGAATGCATTGAGTTTGGTAGGCTTGGGTATGCATTTATCATTCCTTGATGTCATGCCATTTTGGGACTCAAGTGGCCTTGATCCAAAAGTGGCTATTTTTGAGTCCCACCCACCCACCCTGCGGAGGGACCCGACGTTCGGGTAATCTCTCCGTTTGAAGGCCCACGACTTTTTCGGGCTGGGGTGTGCGCAGGGCGCGCTGATGTTTTTGGCGTGGTCGGGAGGGAGATTCCTGGACAGGGTGTACACATAGGGTCTCTGACCATGATGCCAAAAGCATCTGTCTGTCAGGAGGAGAAGCCTGACAGACGTCCCAAAGCAAATCCCTATGGTAGGGTTTGGAGCTGCGTTGCATCGGGCTTGCAAAGGAAAAAGGAGGCGTGCTCCGTTCTAAGTGGCATGCACAGGAATGTATGCCTAAAAAGGCAAGTTGTTCTCAGGTTGTTCTCAATGGGAAGTGGCGGCTCGGTGCCTTCACGCCACGCGCCGAGTGCCTTCTGAAGGGAGTGAACGCTTTGCAGCCGTGCATTGTGGTAACGTGTGGTCGGGTATGATCGCGTATTTTGTCATGTGCTCACGTAGGTGTAGCGGCGTGGCAGGGCGTAGCAGGGCAGGGCGTAGCAGGGCTGCGTAGGCTTGGGTCTGAGGTTCAAGGAGCCAAATGGTCTGCGGATCGCCGCCGTGCATGCCACTGGCGCCCTGGCCGACTGGAACAAGGCGCATCCAGACAAGGAGGCCAGAGCAAGACGAAGTGGCTGGAGTCTGGAGGGGCTGGAGGGGCTGGACGGGCTAGAGACGAGAGGGGGAAACCAATGGCTAATAGGGAACTCTGCGTCTCAGGTGAAGGCGGGGGACTTGCTGCTTGAGGCAGGGGCCTCGTTCGCCTCGCATCCCTTCGTGTCTCGCGTCTCTTCGCAGGTGGACGGGGACATGCGCGATGGGTTGCGGGGCACCGGCCAAGATCTCTACGAGGAACTGCTGAAGGCCCGCTTCAAGCCACATTTCGCCGCAAGCCTTTTTTTAATATATATATATATAGAGCGCCGGCGGGGGGACAGGGGGGGTGGGGTTGGGGAGGGGGGAAATAGGTAAAAGGTTGGTTCTAGGTTCAAGGTTCATTTTCAACAAGTCAATCATTTTATTCAAAACTGAAGTATTGGTTCTGGGGAGTTTCTAAGTTTTCTGAACATGAATTGCATTTTTCATTTACTGACAGTCTAAGATTTTGACACGTTCAAGGTTCAGGTTACAGACAAATTTATGCCTTTCTGGGGGATAGAGGGTTTAATCCGATTATAGCTCTAAAATCATATGCAGAAACAACTGTTCAATTCGTTCCATATTCAGTTTCGCAGCACTATAATAAATCCGCATTCCTTCTTCACAACAACAATGTTCACATCCCTTTATTAATTGGTCTTTATATATTTCAATTAAGTCGCTTACTATGTTTAGGTTTGGAATGAATATACTGTTGCGCTTCATTATCTTTAAACTAAAAATCTTGATGCACCAGTTTAAACATCTGTAACTTCAACAAGGTTCGTTTTTACAGTATGAGGCTATAGCTTGATAATACGTATTCTGATTTTTAAGTCTTTCTTGTAGGTCTTCATCATCGAAAAAATATATTTTGCCTTTCTACAGGATTTTACTATCACAAGAATGTATATGTAGTTGGGAGAGAGGATTGTCCAACTTTCTTCTGAAAATATTGATTGACATTCTGCATTTTAACCCTTCTTCAGGTGAATCGTATTCTTCAACAAAATTATGTTCTTTTTCTCTCAAATAGTGACAATTGAAACAATCAGTGTCAATATAATTACAAGCATAAACAAGTGAAATATTTGCTGATGCCACAACGCGTTTGCATCTTAAATGTTGACAAGGGCATCTACTATGATTAAACAGTGTCATTTTCTCTCTTATTATTGGTTCAAAGGGGTCATTTCTCCAAGTAGTTTTATCTTCTCTTCTGACCTCGTCGGCTACTCACTGCCTCTTGCTATTTCTTCGGGTGACTTGCTCCTGCTTCTCGTTTCCACTTGCTCCCTACTTCATTGAATGCATCTTGCTCTTTCTACTGGCGAGAGACTTCTGCTTCTTGCTTCTACTTGAAGTCTCGTCCAGAAAGATGCCCTTGGTTGTCAGATTGCACGGACGGCGAGGATGACTTCTTTTCTCGTTTGAATGGTTCAAACACACTCTTGTCTTCTCCACCTAAGAATGTGTTTCTTAATGACTTTATTTCACGGCTTTCCTCTTTCTTCTCTTCCTCTTTCTCGGTTGATGCTGACGATGATGATGTTAAATGAAGATGTTGTAAATCTTCCTGCCTTTTCACTTGATTGCTTGAAATCAGTATTCTGGCCATCTTGCACCACTGAGTTTTCATCGTTTGACTCTTTTGCAACATATGATGTTGTCTGTGCGTCTGCCTCGTGTTTTCATACAGTTGCGAGGTCGGTGCTAAACATTTCAGGGAACAATTCGTGTTGAAGAACTTGTCTGTCAGTTTGAACCCTGGCGTTCGGCCATAGTTTTTTGTATCGTTTTTTGGAAGGTGAAAATGATCAAAGTCTATACTGTTAGTTAATGTGTCAAGTATCTGTCTCTCGGGGATTATTTCATGTTTTAATGTGCGTGTCATCGCTTCTTTCAGCATTTCATCAAATGTAGGCCGTCGTCTTAATCCATAAGAGTTGTCAGACATTTTAAATAATGCAGATTATTTGTCGTTGAGTTGCGTATGGGCTTTTTTTAATTATAAACAGTATCCTCATAGTATGTTTTGAATTTAACCTTAACTTCTTCTCTTTCTACTCCCCTTGTATTATATTCATCTTGTTAAAACCCTCCTGGCCCCGTGCCTAAATTGGGAAGCAGTTCTGAGGTCCGTGTTTGTGTTGCTTACAAGGTTCCATTGATTGCCATTTGGATCAAGTCACAAGTGAGGTTCAAGATCTTATGTGAAGCTGCGTTCATACGTGATCGGCAATTGAGAGCGGAAAACACTTCGCTTGCGCTGCATTTGTCAGGACCACTGTTGTAACTATTATTCCTTCTCCCTTACAGTTACACGGGTTCGGCTATAACGGTTTGACCGTACACACCTTTCTACGTGGTTGGCATTTACAGCTGGAGGGTTCGGTGGACAGCGTCCCACGGGACGTCACCTTGCCGTCTCTTGACAGGTTATCAGCCGTAACGACAAGCTCTACACTGGACAGAGAGACAGCTGGTTTATTGCGGGTACAGGGACAATAAAGGAACAATAACCTACACGGTACAATGGCATCTTCAGCGAGCCCAAGTACTGCAACTTTTGGGAACAGCAGCTCAGAGGGATCCAATGGATTGATGGCTCTTCCTGCGGTGATGGATTTGGTCGCAGATTTACAGGATGAACCTGGGAGCGGAGGATCCGCGCTATTCAGCGACATATCCACCCCTACAAGATCATGGAAGCAGATCGATGTTCGTCAAGAGTCGAAGCAAAGAGAATCCCCGCCGAGAAGATCATCATCTTCGCCTGCGACACCACGGACGTCGCAGAAGGGCGTGAGGTCAACATCAAAAGGTGGGAGATCTAAATCGCCCACCAGTGCAGAGTTTCGCGCCGCAATTAAAGAAAAGAACAAGATGGAGATGGAGATCGGGGAATACCAAAAGACACTTGATGAAATGTCGGCAGCAATGGCGAATCTTCATCAAGAAGACTATGGGAGCACCATCCGGATCCAGGAGCTGGAGAGACGATGCGAGATTGCCAGCAAGCAGTCGGGACATCTTGTGAGTCACCACCAACACCACATGGCTGAGGCATGGCGCAAGTTTGAGGAGGAAGCCCAACAGATGCGCAAGGTGGAAATGAACGCATATCAGTACGGGGAAAAGAAAGACATGGAGTCGAATGTTATAATACAACAGATGAGACAAGCTGAAGGAACTATTATGGAGCAGAAGCGGGAGATTGCAGTGATGAAATCCTACATGGCAAGCGAGAAGTCGGCCGCGCAGGAATCAGCTACACATGCAAATCAGATACACCGTGAGGCTTCACAACAAATATCAGTTTATCAGCAACAGATCAGAGGTATTGAATCGTCTACATCTATTGAGAAGTTCAACGAGGAGGGGATGGTCCAAAGTTTAAAATCACAGTTGGAGCATGCACTCGTCAAACGCCCCGAGACGTACTCTATGGAGGACTCCAGGGAGCAGCTGATCGCGAGACTGAACGACGTTACAACATTCGCGGAGCAAGAATCGAAGAGAGCAGAGTGCTTACTTCGCGAGAAGGAAGAGATCGTCAAACAGTATGAATCCGACGTGTTGAAGAAGGACCAGATGATTGCTATCGAGGGTAGTCATCGTCAAGATGCGATCTTGGAGTTAGCCCAGGTCAGAGAAGCAAAACAGGAAGAGCGGTGCACGATGGACGAGAAATCGAAGGAGGCCGAGTGCTGGAGATTCACAGCTAAAGGAGTGTATGATGAGTACCTCGAGGAGATGCGTGAACTTCAGGGACAACTGAAGGATCGGGAGGCGACGCTCAAGCAAGAAGAGAGTTTTGTTCGTCAACTCGATGCTGACAATGAGGAACTACGAGCACTCAAGAAGCTGGAGACACAGGAAGCCTCTAGCAGTAAAGATGGACATCGTGAACGAGCAGTAGTGAAACGCGCTGAGGGAGGACCCCAAGCTAATTCGACTAGGGTAGACAAGAGGGTGACTGGGTTATTCCCGTCATCATCATCATCGAATCTGATCCCTAATTCGTCACTAATGCCAGGTTCGATTCTCTTTCCGTCTTTTGGTGATCCAATGATTGATGTACACCTATCCCAGATGCAA